AAGCGGATACGAGTCATCAGCATCGGTCGGACATTTGTGGGCGGGCGGGCGCGGTGGGCGTCCGGGTCGGTATGTTGCAGCTTGATAGGGCGCTATAAGGGTACTTCCCTGAGAAGCGCCACGCAGCGCTTACTCAAGGGCGTCGAATTCTGTTTTGCTAGGCGTATTAATCCTACACGTCTTGAGGATTCATCGTGCCATTTACCTGTGAACATCGTGGAAAGTTTTAGAGGGACTTTTATCTCCTTTTGAAGGGCTTTTTATCTCACCTTTCCCACGTACATATTGCCTCAAACGATCTCAACTCACCTATTTGCATGCGAGGGATAGGGTCATTTTTTGGGGAAGGCGCCCTTACAGTACCATACTGCACGGGGGCCAACGTTTGCACGCCCACTAGCAACTGGTCCAAGAAAATCTTCCTATTCTATTACTGTATTACTCGATTGAATCAGATAATCCCACGTTTTGATCGACGACAACATTGGTATTTTTTAATCGATTCTGGCGGTCTAATCGGCTTAAGGGATTTCAATCTCAGCACATGCTGGCGAACTTGTTTTTCGAGACCAGTCACACCACGGGCATTCATGTCATTCTGTTTCTGTAGACCGACCACACCAAATGTGTTAAGAATTACGGTAACGTCCGCGACAACCAGGTGACTTGGCGACTTTCCCATCACCATCACATATTTTCCAGTCACTCACTGAGCAGCAGCTTCCCTTATTCTGATGATAACGTCCGCGTGCCGTCTGATTCAGTTGATGACTCATCGAAGCCGAACAAATTCCCGGACTCTTATCGCCTACCTGATTACTACGCTACTATTGAATTCATTTATTTTTTCGTGACTTGTTTGTGATTACTACTTTATTCCGGCCACCCAAATCGGCCTATTCAATGCCTTAGCGCACACCTGGCCCGTATTGATCGCCATACAAATACCTGCATATGACTGGCGTATTGCGAAACGCGCAGGCTCTCTGAGTCAACCCCGGCGAGCAACCATCTCACCTGCCTACCGCCCACCCACATCGCTCATCTGCCACTCCCATTGAACTGCCAATTATGGTTTTTACTTCGGAGTAAACTGACACTATTCTTCAGCCTTTGAAAAAAAATGACTTTGATTGATTAGGACTGCAAAGGCCTTGATTCTTTAGGGCTGTACAGGTTTTTGAGGTTGGATGTATGGCTCTTTTCCCCATAATTTTTACGTGATACTGTATTGATTTGCTCATTTTTGTAATTCTTCCTACATTCTTCTTTACAATTTTTATATTTTCGAATGTACTTGCTCTCCTTTCAAATGCTCGTCTCCGATTTTCATATCGAAACGTAGTTAAATTGTAGGTTAAGTGACCAACCCATGTAAGGCCTCCTATTATGCCACCAATTAACCCAAAAGTTCCAGTTTACTACATGTATTGCAGATGATCATATAACATGGGTCTTATCTTGAGGCACAGTAGACAATGGGCAAGGAAAAGTTTCGCAGATTATGCCCCCTTCTCTCGAAATTTCCTCCTCTGGTACTACCCCCCCCCTGTTCCCATCCCCATCCTACCTAACGTTTTCCGGAAATTTCCCAATTTTCTACTACTTTCTGCAGTTTTTTCCCAAACGTGTCCACTTTTTATCAAAAAAGGCTGCGGAGGGAAGGGGAGGGGTATACAGCCTCTTGAATCTTGGAACCGGACAAACCGAGAAAGGTCAATAGGTGGAAAACATTTTTCCCAGAGGTAGAGACGAAACCCCCTCCCTTCAGCGACTAACTACGACTCCGCGCGTATATCCCCAACGTAGGACGTGTCCTGATAGTAGGACAAATGGAAGTGAAGAAGATGCTTGGTGCCGACTATAAAGGATAACATTAAGAGACCTTTATAGAAGAGACATAAGGATATACAGAATGGGGATGAGGCACTGTTCAGTCGTTTTTGGGGTGCGCCGTGCACTCTGATTCCGTTAAAAATCGTAGCCCCCCTTTCAGTGCGATTTGGCACATGCTTCAGGAGCGACTTTGGGAAAATCGGTGTTTCTATCCTCATAGTCGAGCCTGTGCTTGCCAATTATACCCAGAAGGATGGATGTCCTGGTTAACCCGGGTGGGAGCCGATCAGATTCGCCCCCCCCCCCGTAGAAAAATCACGCTTGCCCAAAATCACGCCCTTAGAGGTGATTGTAAGTGTGTTCGATGCTCCCTACTTTACTGCAATTACTTGTTCAGTTCATTCTTCAATCTACTGACCATCTCTCTCCCTATTTTTTTTGACAGCATTAACCCGAATTTTTGAACGTTTCTTTTCCTGTTACCGCTGTTTTTCATATTCACAGTGAGGCCGTTTGGTTGATTACATGACAGGTTGGGTGGTGTTGTCAAACTAGTTTTTATTTTCGCTGAAAATATCCGTTTTCAGTTACTTCCTGTATACAGTGCTGTCGACTAGAAATTGTTAAACGTAATGGAGTTTCAGTGTCCATGAGTACTGCTGCGTGAAAATTTCATCTGTAACTTATTTAAACCCATCACTTCGTTAAATCCTATTCAGATTGTGATTTCGTTGTTTCTCATTCGAGCCTTAGGGCGAGCGGTTTTCTGAAGGGGTATGTGACAAGACAATCGTAATATGGTGCGCTGGCGGTCGTGTCCAGCGACGTCGTGCCCATGAGAGACGAGTTGTCCTGCCTGAATTCGATCTTAAATGGTCGGGAACGATCCATACAAAGCGACATTCTTGACCGACGCAAGTGTCGCTGCTCCAGTCGACAACTCGGCGGGACCGTGGATTTGCTGCTCACAGCCGCACGATGCGTCGCGCGCGACGACACGGCGAACTACGATTGTCTTGTCCGTCTCCCTTTCTGAAAAAAGCTTCAATAAATTCTCGTTAGCGTCTAAATTTAGTTACTGTTTTCAGTGACCGTTCACAGATGAGGGATCGATTGGCCGACTTCCAAGTAAGTGCACTCTAATGTCAATAGAGCGGAAATAGATCTTTGTCGAGGTAGTTCTCCCATTCACTTCTTGACCGCGTATCTATTCGCGTCGCTATACTTGGCTATGTTTTCGCACCGAGGCCGGAATACTGTTTGCCAAGTACGGTACGAGCTGTATGTTGACGACATCCCGGAATCAGTTCCTTGTTTTCGTGTTTTTTGTCAAGCAAATACCAACTGCTTTGCCTACCTGATTTGGTTTGCATAAGTCAAAGTTCTGAATATAGAGGCGCAAAGGGTAAACTGTTGCTTCGATAAGTGCCGCTCTAGGATAAGCCATGTACCTCACCTACGCTGAAAATTGTAGTTGCACTTTGAACACGATTTGGATATAACAATGAATTGAGCGGGTGGCTTATGTAAGGTTCTTGCTTTTATCCTCCCTGAAGGCTGAACCAAATTCCTAACCAAAACCGCAAAGGGGGAATTTGCGATGTAGAAGACCTAGACATCAATACTATACTTTGTAACAAAAGGAAATATTCTAGTTCCCAAATCCGTGTAGGTCTTCACTCCATCTGATTTCAGAACGAAGTTGGACTCGTTAAAAGTCGAAACTCGCGTTCGCAAAAAGATTTCCGTATTATTTTGGTACTTTATCGCGACGGAGGACTTCTTTTCTTTGCAACTGTGAAACTGAAAGAGAAATTTCGAGCCTATTGGAAAGAGGAGATCTCGTGGCTTCCAAACCATGTCGTCCTTCCCTTTCCCTCCACCTTACGTCTGAACCGTTTAAGTCCATGTAAATGCCAGAAACTCGCTTCTGCTCCGAATTTTCCTTCTTTATTTGGACCACGGATGCTGCGCAAGCTATTACGGCACCTCCAGCGTATTTCGGGCAG